AGTGCTATTAATTAGATGTGATAGGGGAAGACAACTCAGATTCGACGAGGTTGTAGTTCTCACTAGAGGTGACAATCGCGTGGGTCGCGAGCTTCTTGGGGGACTAATTAGCCACGCGAGTCTCCGGCTTTCTGACCTGAGAAGCGCGTTCCCACGAAGTTGTGTCTGTCGACCACCTTAAGTGCCAGCACACACACAAAAGGGTACACACATCTACGCCCTGTGACTTTAAACGTGTGCGTACATCGACAGAAAAAACGCTGTAGTATCCTAACACAACCAGCCGCACTCCTTGCTGACTTAGATAGCGCGCATTTCTCAGTAAGAGAGCAGCGAATTTTCTGAATAAAAGAAACCACTTCCATCTGCCGACTTTAATGCCTCCCTGTTAAACGACCTCGCCTCTCTCTAGGGTGGTGTGAATTCAGATAACCATTCGTGTCCGTGTTCCATTTAAGGTGGGCGTGAACATGATTTACGTATCTAAAACACCTTAGGGGCACATTTGTCAAACAAGGCAGAATACTCGAAGTCAAAAGCAGACACCATGTATTTGAAATTACATACTACCAAGAACCACACTTTGACCCAAAACCACGACCAAAATTGCATGCACCACCTGAGGGTTCTTCTACTTCAACCTGAAGGCGTTGACATAGTCGATGAACGTCAGCATTGGCACCGTCGCCTCGGCTTTATTGGAGGGAGTAATTGTAATCTGGTCCTCTCTGCCAGTCGTAAACTTAATTTTCAGTAGTCGAGGCTTCGTCTCCAAATGCCCAGTAAAGAGTACAACTGGAATGGTGCGCACTGCTGAACGGAAAATAGATACGGTTAAGATATCCTGTAAAAACTAGCACAATGATGTAAACTAACACCAACCTGTGTTCCCAAACGGAGATATCATACGGAAATCCTGTTTCGCTGGCGACATATTTTCCAAGAAGCTTACATTCTGAAAAGTAATCAACAGAGTGGTTTTGTAAAATCGCCTTTTCCATATATACAATGTTCTTTTCCTAAGACGGAGACATGTAGACTAAATCTGGATTACATCGGCTAAGCACTAAGCGACATTTGCAGACGTCATTATTTGAGAACGCCGCGGCTTGCACGTATGATCCATGTTAATTTATGTGGGGGCACATGTGCTACCGCCTCGTCGACAAATTAATGTCGAATTTAAGTAAACTGATGCCCTTTTCATTGTTTAATCTCGACAGATGTCTGAACTATGAGGCAGTTATCATGGGCGATAAAATAATGAAACGCAGAATGGCAATTACCGCTCGTGTCTTATTCAACACATTTGACCACTTTATGCGGGATATGCTAAAAATGCAAGCAACCGCCAATATATTTCACATCAAAACATTAGGTCTAATTATTAATGACAATCGAAAGCATCCATCTTGCAATGCATGTATGCTGATATTTTTTCAATATTATAATATTTACCCGAATGCCCCCACTAAAGAGCAGAATGTGAACAATTTTTTCTTTTTCGAGGACTTCTTTTGTAAAGACGGAAACTGATTCAGTACTGGACACCAAATCTAGAAGAGAAGATACAGCATGTAGTTTAGTTAAGCAATAAGTCAGAAAGCCCATCAAATCTCAGAAAGAACACTTCTTTTTATCCGAAGACAAGAAATATGATTTCGTGGTATGTGATTTAAACTGAAATTGCAATATGCACGCTGCTCGTCGAAGCAAGTTTTCCGTCCACTGGGCAGCCTGCATAGTTTTAGAACTCAAATGAATGCACGGACTACATAGCCACTGGAAATAGGAAAGTGAATTGCGTATTATCAGGCAGCGTAAGAAGAATAATTGTCTTGACTTACTAGGTTGCGTGCCCTTTTTATAATACTGAATTACAACTCTGCTTCTTTTGGGGAAATCCTTTGGCTCAACCGTGAATGCAACATGCGTTCCCTTCAGGTAGTCGTTGGCAATTACGTATTCATTGGCTTGCAAAGAAAAAAAATGACTGCAATTTATGAAGGTGGATATTAGGGGAACTTATTTATATTGAAGGTCTGCATGTACGTTTGTGATGAATGGGTGTTCAACGATCACATTACTGTGTCTACTGTCGCGCTGAGATTAGTGTTTTACGCGGAGAGTGAATACTCATGAATTCTGACTTAGTGGACTTCGCCTGTCAGCCTTGACCAATCCCAGATTTGGAGGCACTTGAAATCCGAACACAAGTTCTTTTGAGTACAGCTCCAATGGTCTAACCCGGACTCATAAAATACATCCCATGATATATACTCTGTTGCCACATGAAGCCTTTGAAAAAAGCGCTCTACTTCATAGTTTCAAAAATGCCTCTGCAGGTCATCGTCGGAAGTAGATCAAAGGAGCAACTTGGTCCATATTTTAAGCAGGCTCTCATAGTTATTTGATATATAAAGGATCCTCGAGCACAATTATTCCGATTAATTTGCGTTACTTTGCAATTCCAGCGAGCTTTAACACCATATTCAAATAATCACATTCACCTGACGGCGAAATCCAAATTCCCGACACGAATTTCTTCGAAAATTTACAAAATCACCATTTTAATAACCGGATAATAAGGAAGCTTATTGGTGGGATTGACTTATGTAGCCACGTAAGCAGAACGTGAGAATAGATGCACCCCGGCGAAGTAATAAATGCAGGACTGCGCGTTATTTCGCAAAAGACCAAATATTCCGTTGTCCTCAATCTAATGATAAACTAAACAGCACTAACTCCAGCCTAAACCCAAATTCCATACTTTAGACCAGCAACTGTCTTAGCTCTAGTCCTTATCAAGACTTACTTTTCTGTTATTTCTACATTTGCACTTAAACATTATCCCTAACACAACCCCAACTCAATAATTTAGTCTAACGCTAATTTCATTGGACGTTGGCCAACAGCCACCCGTATTGCAGGCTTTTCCTTCGCCCATGTCCTGTTCTGAGCTAGGGGCATATAAGTCAGTGCTGCTGGTCCGTTTATGGGAAGGTTTGACTCTGTTAAATGCGTCCTTCGGTCTGTCAGGCATGCTGTTTCGTCTATTCAAATGGGGCAAGCGACACATTTTATGACATGCTTAATTAAATAACACGGAAACCACAGCTTACGTTGAACAATTTGCCAGCAGTCATTGGGTGCAATACAGTTTGAACCATTTTCCGGCCTCGAAATATTCACGTCATCGACGGTCACATACTGCAAAGGAAGACGGTTAATTTTAAACATAACAGTGTTTCATGAAATCATCCAGTTAACGCTTATTACCTCAACGTCCCCATAGAGCATTTTTGTGTAGACGTAGTCGCTGTCCTGTTTGAATTCCAGTTTGCTTTCTATCACTAAGATAGTAAATTCACGGATAAACCGACATAAATGAGGAATATGCAATTCCGTTCCACATAAACAAACACTATAATCATCAAATATATTTAAATTTTAAAATATAATTGTAAGTCGTTATATGGCCATGCTACATGGCTTAAAATATTTTTACCTTTTCCAAACACGCCCTGGACAATGATTAGGAGTAATAGTTGGCGAAACATTTGCAAGCGACCACGCTTGCACGAAGTTCTACTCTTCTACTTTTATACACCCCAACAGCCAATAATCGCGCACAAATGAAACCCGAGTGGTCCGCCCTGCATTCAGTAAAACAAGCTCTGATTTGGAAGAGCAGTTAGTGCCTTGATTCACACTATAACCACCTTGTCAATTTGGGATATTACGGAGGTGGCTAAGAGCCAAATCTGTCTACACCGCGCAATTAGTCCTCGACATGTTTTACGGGAAACTAATCTTGCTCGCACGAAAACGCATGTTTCAGGTCTACGAAGAATAGCGGAATGGAAACCCGAGAACGACAGAGTCATTGACCGACTGTGTTTGAGACAATTTATATTTTCTAATAAAAGGCATCCCTGATGTTGCTAATAATTTGCTAATTGCAGAGGAACGAAAAACTGTTGGGCTTATTGACATTGAGTATATGTGTACACATTTTGGAATAATGTGATGAAAATACTTTAACAATTGCATCGGAGCTTGTCACAAGCTGCATTCCCGTTGTGCTGAAGAGATCAGCCAAGCGTTGCGCAATCTGCATTGCTCTACACAAGTTTAAGTCTAAACTATGACTGCAAAACCTTTACATCAGGTCGTGTATAAATAAGTCACAGCCACCACACCCACGCTCAATTCTAGTCGCATTCTCGGCGCGCGAGTAGATGCCTGCTTTACTATCATGAACTTCAAGCGCGAGTTGTAGTTGCATTCTACCCATCACATGGCTACACCTAAGCGCTCGTGATGGCCAAGCAATCGCCCTCGGGCGTCTATTATTCATGAAAACGTATTTAGCAGATCAGGTAAGAGTAAATGTCCCTATCCTGATGCATGCATGTTTGGTCTCTTAGGTTAATTAAGTAGCCTCGCAAATATGCTTTTGTTGAAGAGACGGGTGTGTGTTTTGAGCACGACGCCAAGCGCATGCAGTCTGCATAACGCATTCACCAACAATCTCGCTCCTTCAAGAGTACCTTGAACTTTGTATTGTCTATTAGTGACTGTAGACCACACAAAGCAGCTAGTAAAGTCGTTCCTCCGCAGTTTATTTTAGACTAAAGTGGGCATTGTCTCCTCGCTATTGAACGCATTCTTCAATTGTAGTATTTGTGAAGGCAACCCATCTCAAACGAGACCCATTTGTTTCAATATTTTCACATGTTTTCAGCATCTTCGCATAAACTGCTAGGCATAGAGCCACCTGCAAACCTGTCGCCTGATGGCAACGGAAGCGTTGCGAACGTGTTGTTATACCAATTTAATCTAATGTGCCACAGTCTTCCTAGCATACACCTTAAAAAATAATGGACAGTAGTATTAATGAGGATGAACACGAGATGATTATCTGATTTGCACTAAGCTAAGGTTTTGTTGTCTGTCTGATACATACTCAAGGCCATAGACTGCAGACCCATTGTATGAAAAAATAATTTTATGTATTAATTACACTATTGCTATGAAAGTCTCAGTTATTTACAGAGAAACTGCATTAAGTCCTATAAGCTCTGGACGTCTAAATCAAGTGAACGCCGGACATGTTTGTCGTACTTGAATTCACTTGCAGAATCATGCACCATATGGAACCTGCATAACAGAATGGGTAAACAGACCATAAAACATAAGCAATTAAACTATCATGGAGCGAAATGAAAGAAGGAAGCGAGAGAATGTGGAATAAGTCATGTTGGTTGATTCTGGAATAATCCGTGTTGTGTGCAACCACCGAAGAATGCAGACGCTGCAACATTTCTTGAAATAGAGGAGATGGTTAATGAATTTGAGGCGACTTAACATCTAGGTATATCGTTATGTGCAATATGCTCAAAAGACGACGGCCACAAGAAGAACAACTCAAAGTCTGGATAGCTATTTCTTACGTTAATGGAGTACACGAGGCGGTTTCACGACCGTCACAACCCGTCAGGCTAGGCATTGCACATCGACGCCAGGCAACAATTCGTCGCCGGTTGATGCAAACAAAAGACCTACTACCACCCACTGAAACCTCAGCAGTTGTCTATCAAATAGGTTGTAACGATGGAGACTGCAACTACGTCGGGAAAGCCGGACGGAAATTGCAGACCCGCCTACATGATCACAAACTGCCAACTCGGAGACTAGACCCAAACTGTCAGCTTGCGGCTCACATCGGGGAAACTGGTGACAGTTTTGATTTTCAAGGAGCAGCCGCCTTAGGCAAGGGTACCTCAAGGACAGAGCGTCTCACACTTGAGGCTCGGTACTTTGATGTCAACTCCATCAACAGGCATCTAGACCTTCCTTCGGCCTTTAATGGCTTGCGTCATCACACGAGCCGAGACAAAGACACGACAGTCATACGGAGCATAAGACTACCGAGCAAACACCGCCTGTCGACCAACTCACCCAAACGTCAGCCATGCAAGTCCCTCGATCCGGTGAGCAATTCATTCTCCTCAGATTATCAGCCCGGATCTCTTACTTACGCTAACCTGAGTTGTACCGTATTGCGTGTCAGTCGACGTCTGCTTGGTTACATAGACTTGAAGAATAAAAGCCCTGACTAATGTAGGACCAGGCGCCTCTTTTTTGGGCATTCGCCTGTCCAGACAGCTGTTTGTTTCTGATTCCAATGCTCAGCGAGACACTCAAAATTACTGCGTCAGCCAGTACTTCATATGAGAGAGGCAGCGGCCATACGGTAAGCCGCCAAACCTTGGACTAGCACATAGTGCATAAACGGCCCTAACGCTCCACGGGCTAAGGGTGAACCCGGCAGATGTGCTCACACCCACTGCCACAACGCGTTATAGCGACGAAACGGCGATATAGATAAACTCCAAACAACTAACCCATCCCACCCTCTCCTCTCCCCTCCCGAAGACTTCAGACATAACTAAGCAATAATTTATGCACTCTGAACGCCCTCATGTCTCTCCACCGCACATAAAGAATGAATATGAATTTGCGTGTTTTCCATGAAATAGAATTGAATGTCTAAGAGCATCGAAAGTCAATGGGCCAAATGGATGCTAATTATGTAGGCCTTTTGCTCAGAGTATGGTTTTGTATGCGGCCGGAAAAAAGCTAATTCGACAGCCGGAATACTGAGGTAACTGAAGTGCTATATAACTTGCTGGTGGCTACCTAGTATTACAAGCCTGCTTAATTAACCTTTTCAAAAAGAAAAGACATTTCGGATTTTCTTTTGACATTTCATGAGTTAGCCCACCAACAACTTATCCCACACCTCTTTCCTAACCCATCGATTCTGAAGATAGTAAACACATGTTGTCAATTCTAAATTAAGTGTAACAGCATTTTCTTAGGCTTTGTGGATTCCCACCAATCCTGTTGACCAGAAACTGTAAACAGATCCAGCAAAACTCGGTTAATCACCGTGTTTTCTCAAATCCATTTAACTTTTATAGGTTTATTCGAAAACAGTTCGAATAAAAGCCATTTGCAAAAATCACATTAGAGCCCCTGCTGCTTGTACAGTAAAGATGGTCATTCCATCCAAAAATCGTTGCCAGCCCATTTCAGTCGAGACCTAAAATCAATCGAGATCCATCAGTTGATGGGGTTTTCGCAGTCACCTCAGTACTGTCCTATAAACACAGGCTCCTTTTCATCCTCACAGTTGGTTTTATCTGTAAGAAGCCTGTGTTGCATGCACTTGTGCGTCGCAAGACGTAATAGGATGCCAAGTACCAGCAATGCGCGACATTCAATATTATCTGGCGACCGCGTGGGGCTGTTTAGGTAGGATATCGGTGCCCAGAGTGGACTGATATTCACCCCCCCCCCTTCCTTCACCCGTTTTATCAATAAGACGCGGGAATAGGAGCCATTGTCGTCCCATGTGCTAAACCCTGTCCCAACACCAATCCCAACCCAAACCCTAAAACTACATTAAAGCTTAAACCTTACCCTTACTCTTTACTACTTACCTTTATCCCTCTAGATAGTATTTAAAGGGGTCAGCGTCACATGTGATGAAACCATGATACCATTAGATGTAATCTCGCTCTCAACCTCGATTATGATAGATCTAACGGTGGGACCGCACTGAATAACTCCTTTAGACCTCCCTTCTCCAGGCAATGTATTGATGATTAAACGATTCTCCTGGCGGAGGTTGTAATGCAGAAATAAGGCACAATGCCTCTTCTCACAATTTTTTCCTATCTTCGGATACGCATTGTAGATAACCTGTTTGTTAACGTTAAAAAAACAAATTTAATCTGCTCCATATCGCCAAATTGTTTTTCGAATGTTGGTTGTAATATAACCCCCATATTTTCATGTCATTGCGCGTGGAAAACTGATGAGTTAATTAGAACAACGGTTCATCGCAAAGAGGAATATTTTGAGGTCGTCTAAAATTTTAGGAACAACCACCCCACCTACAACCTTCTGAATTGAGCCAAAACTCACTGGTCTTGGAAAACAAATTGTTGAGCAGAAACGAAATACCTCTACAAAATATCGTCCTAAAGTAGGTACCCGCATGATTGTATACATCAACGTTTGAGTCACCAGAAATTCAAACGAGGGAGTAGTTCTTATGCGAAGGCCGCGACCACCCCCGCCCCTCTCAGCTTTCGGATTTTCAGCACCGTGCTACTGCCAAAGAAGTCGTTTTGCTTCGCCGAGACATAGATACGCCTGCCGACCTCTCGTGGCCAATGAAAACTTTCCGAGTAAACGAGCACGCGACTATCCCGCTCAGAACAAACGAATAATTTCCCTAGCCCGGCAGATTTCGCATTTTCAGTAGAATTCTACGCTTACTTTGCCACCCCGTTCCGCAACACCGCCTTTTGCTAAAGTCTCGCAAATTTTGTAGAGCCTAAAATGACAGCCGCCAGTTAATAGGTCCAGTATATTGAACTTTACCGTCTGAACTGTAGGAAAGGATTACTAGCCCCTAGAAAGTCGTAAATCACTCGTCGAACCAGTTCTCATGAAATTCCTCATTAACACGTTTGTCATTTGC